CTGGCAGGTTCCAATCAGCTCTGCTGCGTAGGCCACTCCACGACCGATACTAGGGTTGCGAGCCCTAGGCGGGAGCCTCGTGTGATTCCGCTGATCACTCTCCTCTCTCAACACCCCAGTGGCTAGTCTTCTCCACCTTTCAACGCCCGGGTACGACGATTCCTCAACTCTGCCACGTCACAGGCAGGTTAACACTCTTAGCAGTGTTCGTCCGGGAGCAACTCACAGCTTCTGCAGCAAACACGTGGAGAGACTTTGGCTGCCTTGGGTAGACTGCCCATCATCCGATACAGCAGTCCCAGGTCGACTCTGTAATCAGACACGTCATTAGTGTTGGGGACACTCTAGGCCACCTCACTTACAGGCTTAGACACAAACGTCCACCTATCCACTCCATAGATGGCGTTGCTGTCTAAGCGTCACCTCACCAGAGGTCAGCAGCGGCTACGTTACGAGCTGACTAAGACGGGAATCCAGCCCCTGTGGCCGGTATATCCCGTCCTCACTGGATGGCGTCATCCATTTGGAGGGGGTTTCGGGAGCTGACCCACAGATGGCGTTGTTGTCACCGCTCCGTGCTCGGACGCTGGACTCGGGTCCGTAACAATCATACTAGCTTAGTGGTTCGCTATGGTGAACACATTCGTACATGGGTACAGTATATACAATGTGTGTATATAGTGTAGTAACAGCAACAGGAGTATGTTGGGAGGAGGTATTTTTGGTGAGGGGGGTGACGTAATCGTAGCATTGTCTGCTGGCTGCTGTGTGATTTCTCATGCAGTGTATGGTGGCCACTGTAAAGTTTGGACACAATACCAGCTTACTTGCATAGTTCTGGTGAATAAAACATGTAGATAGGTATACATAACATGTGTAAATAGTGTAATACAAACAATAACAGTATGGTGGGAGGAGCAATGTTGGCAAATAAGATGTTGGAGGACTGAGGGAGAGACTGGATGTTGGAGGAGTGAGGGTGTGGCAGCTGACACTCGCGGAGTTCTGAGTGTGTTCATGGTGAATGTATATAGTGTGTGATAGTGTATAGTGTGTAAATAGACTGTATATATACATAAATTAGCATAATACAATGGAAATATGTGCCGAATATGTGTACACATGTGTCATGCACGTAACAGTGTCTTCGGACAGTACGGATGTTCTACTGCCATAATATAGTGTACGTGTTCATTATACATAGGATTGGCACATAAAAGCATATAAAATATATTTGGGCTTGTGCGCAGAAAATGAACAAAAATATATTCGCGGCAACTCGCGTATCCTGCCCCGAGCGCCCTACCGGCCCCGGGGGGCGTATGCCATGGGCGACCAGGGAATGACGACGTCACGCACGAACTTACGGACCCCATAGCAGCTAAAGTACTTATAATTTCGACCTTCTGTTACTATACCCTTACTCAGGGAAGGGTTTTTGACACTTTAAAAACAGAAAAGAATTTTTTCCAGAGATTTTATTTCTTGTGCACTCGAGGGGTGTCATATTTGGAGGCCGCGCAGTTAAGGGGTTAACCTACTGATGTGAATATCATCCACAGGCCTAATTATACCTAATTATTATTAACACTTTCGTGCTATCTGGACACGCCGGCGCATCCAGTTTCGTCTAACGTAAACGCATAGTGGACATAAAGTTATGTCTTCTTTTAAAATATTTGTATAAAATTCAATTTTAATCTGATTTCATTGGGGTTTGTTTCAAACGACGCGCCATGAAGTTCTCTTTCTCACCACTAGGCCGCCTGGCGCGTCGGCCTACCCGGTCACGTGACGGGCCCATTGTTTTCGTGTCACGTGTCATAAGTCGATCACGCTCCCCTCGCGCGCCAAACTCGAGCATTTTTACCCGTTTCCGTGTGGATTATACCCAATTACTTCATCAAAAATGGATCAAGGTCAAGGCCCAAGCACTTCTACGCCCAAGGAAGCCTCCAGGTCATCGAGAGTGGACGAAATAACCCAAATTTTTAAGAAGTGGAGCGGAGTGAAGCTCATACCAACGAAAATTCCAGGCCTTGTGGAGGATTTATCAGAAGCTGAAGGTGATGTAGAGGTATTGGAGGAAGATTTTGGAACCCACAACGATTATAGTGTACCTAGAGCTAGAGGGAATGATACGGCAACGAGTGATGAGGAGACTGAGGCCCTCACCGAGGAAGAGGAGGCACCGCGACCCCCTCCTCCTCCTCCATCTCGGCGCACACGTGGTGCATCTAGGCTACCTAGAAAAGTAGCTACCAGACATGTTACTCGTCGTAGGAACACACGACAAATTGCACCAAGTGATTCTGAAAGTATAAGTGATGAGGAAAGTGATGAGGATTCATTCGAGCCTGCTGAAAGGCGTACACGTACAGTACGTACTCGGCAGGCTGGGGCTGGTGAGGGCTGGAGTCGTAGCAATACTTCTCCAGTTGTTGATGATTTTACTGGAAATCCTGGACTGAAAATTCCCAAGCCTACTAGTGCACTGGCTTATATTCAATTGTTCATCACGCGTGCCCTCCTTGAGTTCTTTACCGTTGAAACAAATTTGTACGCCTCGCAGTTATTCCGGATGGCCAATGAAAATTTATCAGATATTTGGACCCCAGTGAAGGTGAGTGAAATGTCACGATTCCTAGGACTGTTCATATTGATGGGCATAATTAGGCTCCCAACTATGAGGATGTATTGGCAAACAGCAAAGCCATGGCATGCTCGTTTCTTCAGCTTGTTCATGCCGTCCAGACAATTCCAGCATATAAACCAGTTTTTCCACACATTCAATACCAATGCAGTGCCCGTGAACAATCGTGATAAGTTGATAAAAGTGAGACCAGCGATGGATTACTTGAAAGAGAGGTTTGCTCAAGTTTACATCCCCAAGAAAGAGTTGTGTTTGGATGAGGGTACAATGGCATGGCGAGGCCGACTATCCTTCAAAGTGTACAATCCAAACAAACCAGACAAGTATGGTGTGAAACTTTATATGCTTGCTGAATCTGTCTCTGGGTACATATATGACTTTGACGTATACTCAGGTATTGGTAAGACGATTCTGGATACAGTAACGGGGTTGATGCAGCCTTTAGTGAACCAGGGTTACCATTTGTACATGGATAATTACTACAACTCGGTTACCCTGACAGAAACATTGAGAGAACTTGGGGTGTACACATGTGGCACAATTAGAATGCTACGTGGTGCCCCAAAGGTATTGCAAGTTCTAGCCAAGGGTAAACTTCCACTGGATACCACAGTATACCGCCGCAAAGATAATACCTTCATTCTCCTGTGGAAAGACAAGCGAGTGGTTTCAATCATTACCAACATCCACAATGCAGACACTCAGCGAGTTCAGCGAAGGAAGCGAATTCGCAACCGAGACGGAACAAGTGGAATACAACAGGTAACAGTGAACAAACCGACTGCAATTTGCGAGTACAATAAGTTTATGAAAGGTGTGGACCACTTCGATCAAATGGTTAAATACTGTATTACCATTTTACCAGGAAAACTCACAAGTGGACCAAAAAGATTACCTTTTATTTCCTGCAAATGGCATTGCATAATGCCTATGTTTTGTACAAATACAACACAACTGATCAAAAAAAGCTAACATTGCTACAGTTCCACGAAGTGGCAATCTGGGCCCTATTGCACTGGGACACAGAGGAGTGGCCTAAAACAACATCATCATCTCAACACTTGCGGCACGCTCCAGACATAAATGATGACACAGCTCCTGCCAATGCTGACGCCATGCCAACTCCCGGACCATCTGGTGTGAGGCGGCCTTTGTTCACTACACCACCTCAAGATGAAGCAGACAACGAATCTGAACCCGACATGTCTGCCACACTGCCAGTTGACGAAACTGTTTTGTCAGATGAATCTGACTCTCCTGCAACTCCTGTTACACCTCCAGCGAGAGGACCTGGCCGCCCTATTGTTGATTCAGAAAATCGCATGAACTACAAACTGAAACATGAAATTTACAGACTGCCCAAACGTCTCAAGTGTCATGCATGCGCACGGTCCGGTAAAAGGAAGGACACGATCTATGGATGCAAGACCTGTGGTGTTGCACTCTGTGTTGTTCCCTGCTACACCAATTACCACTGGAAAAGGGTGTATTGGGTGGTGAAGAAGTAACCACCCGCAACAGCTTCACTCCACCTACAAACCATCTGTTGAGCAACTTCAGGAATGAAGAACCTGAAGAAGGTGGAGTGAAGAACAAATGCTCAACTTACTGTTCCACAACCAGCCTTCCCTTGGTAAGTACACCTATTTGGTCCAAGTTTGTGTAGTATAATTTAGCTCATAGAACATTCTATTGCGAAAACATTGCCACAAAAATGAATGACATACATACAATAATAATATCAGAACAGTGAAATAAGTATAAACTTTCAAAGCAACGTTTCGCGCGTGTGTCGTCCGGTCACCGTTACCGGGTAACAGTGCGCCCACTTCCCACACTCTTGCGGGTGGGCCGGGACCATTATTCTACGATTATATTCATATCACCGTGTTGGGAATTTTATTGGGAGTCCATTAATACCAAAATTAAGGCTGTAGGACAATTGTAGAGGTGATAATAATCCCAAGAGTAAAAACATTTTGTTGCTGTTGAGCGCTCACGGCGACTCATCTTCATAGTTATTTATTTCATGCTGGTATCTCTATAGCTTTCGTGACTTTTTTTACTGGTGTTCTTCTAGAGAATTTTATTGCGAACACGTTGGTACCAAAATGAAATACGTAGTATGAAAACTAAGGTCAGAAAAGTAAAAAGAGTACACACATTTTTGTTTTTACGCTTAAGCGATAAAAACGTTGCGCGCACATACGGTTGGCTGAGTGACCTTCGCCGAGAGCGCGAAAGTGTTAAGATTAATGTGTACATAAAAGCATAAACAATTTACAACACAACCAAAAAGTACAAGAGTCCGCTCTATAGGAACAAACAATTTGTACTGAGAACTGACCTGAATCTTTCCTGACCGGCAGTGTCCCATATTTGCAGCTTGACTGATTTGCCGCCAACATTGACAATCCTAGACCCAAACTCCACTCCAATGGTGTGGTTGCTCTCTGCCTTAACTAATATAAAACATAGAACATCAAATTAATTGGGTAAGTAAATTATAATTTAATAGCCTGTCTAAAAAGTCTAATTAGTTGCACTAGTGCACAAAGTATGCAAACTGGAGTATGATAATGAACATCTGACAATGTGGTATTTTAATTCACAGACTTTAAGGGCTTAAGTGAATAAAAGCACTACTATATCATACAATTCTAATTCCAGTCTAAAAAATTAATACTTTATGAAACTTCATAATAATTACACTTAATAAAAGTCCATCGATGTCAGATTTTTTACAGTGAAAGCCCAATTCAGTGAAAAAGCATTCTCAAGTTTCTAAAGTATGTAAGGAAAAGTCAAATAATCTATGTATCTGCAATTTATCATTCTTGGTTAGTTAATGCATCTATGATGTAAAAATATACAATACAAAATTCAGCCCTATTTTTTCAAACAGTATTTGGATGCAAGTACATTATTTGAATTTTAAATCAAATTATTAATACAATATGCATTACAGCATAAAATCATAATGCATACAGTAAATACAGTGGCCCCTCCACTTACGAATTTAATCCGTTCCCAGAGAGACAGTTCGTAAATAAAAAAATTCGCAACCTGAAACGAATTTAACCATAAGAAATACTGTAAATTTAATTAATCCGTTCCACACTCCCAAAAATATTAACTTTAAAATACATTTCAAACCTAATAAACACAATTATTTAGTACTATAGTATGTATAAGTTATAGCTTATCTTTATTGATGACTCTTGTTGGCATACGGAAGATGGTGATGAGGGGGAGGAGGAGGAGCGGTGTTAGTGTTTGGAAGGGGAGTCCCCTTCCATTATAACATCAGGCAGTGGTGACTTCTCTGGGGTACTCTCTCCTACATTTTGCCTGCATACAACTAGGACCTGGTTGTGGCTCACTGCTTGTTTTTCTGACTAAAAACCTTCCCATAGAGACTTGTTTTTCCTACGTTGTAACACTTGTCTGTAGTGAGGCATCACAGTGTCTTTAAAAAGGTTAAGGCTATGGCCTACCTCAGTTTGCTGTGGGTGAGTCGTTTCAACAAAAGTTTGCATTTCTTCCCACAGTCTACACTACTTCTTAATTGTTGAGGAAGGGATATTCTGTACTGTCTCCTCCCCTGAAGAAATTTCCTCTTGTTGCTGCTCCTTGTGAAAGACTAGGAGTTCTTCGGTGGTCAGTTCTTTAATGTGTTCCTCCACCAACTCACAACACACTACACTCACAACTCTCACAACACTGTGAATGAAACTTCTCTTTTTAAATTTCTCAAACCATCCCCTGCTTACCTTAAGCTCTTTCATATCTGCATCACTCGTTGCAGGGGGTTTTCTTTGTAAAATCTTCAATCTTCATCTTCATGCCTTGCTTTTTATCAAGTGCTATCACCTGCTAACTTCTTGTTGTGTATCTAAATTAATAACAACTTTTCAACATCCTCAAGTGTTTGTGTTCTTTGTTTCATGATTGTTGATACGCATTTTGCCACTTTAGCACTCATAATGTCCTTTTTCTTAACAATTACATTGCAATATCATTGACATTGATTTATTGTACTGCCTAGCTAGTTCAACAACCCATGTACCATTTTCATGTTTACGAATGATATCTTGTTTTTCCTTTGTGGGCATCCTCACATGTGTTTCCTTAGGTTGAACCTTACCCCTGACTTTCTTGGGACCCATGGCGTGATATATAATTACTTTTATGTTCAAAAAAAAACAAAACAAAAAAAATCACCAAAATAAAGGAATTTCTTACAAGCGTGATCGTCACTAAGCGGGCAGCTCTGGTAAACTGAGGCAGGTCTGCCCACATGAACAGGAACCATGCGCTTGGTCGACCCAAACGCGTATCAACAAATATCGTTAGTCGACGACACTATTGTAAGTTGAGCCGCATTTTCTGATGAAATTTATATTGTAACTCGAAATTATCGTAAGTCGGGGCAATCGTAAGTCGAAGTGTTACTGTACAGTACAGTACAGTAGATTTATTACATAGGATCTTCCTGTTCGAAAACCATACTATCTGTCTGTTATTATGTCATTACTCTCCAGGTGTTGTACCCATTTAGTTTTAACTATTTTTTCAGTGTTTGACTACAACATTTGTTAATGATATGGGTTTATAATTTAGAGGATCTTCATGGCTACCATTTTTATAGGTTGGAACTATATTTGACTTTTTCTATATACAGTGGAACCTTGATTAACAAGCGGCTCTATTAACGAGTTTTCCAGCAACGAGGAAGCCACTCGCAGCAAATTTGTCTCTATTGACGAGCTCGCTTCTATTAACGAGCAAAACCACATGGTGCTTCCTAGCATCTCGCGGGTTCCCGCTAATTCTCGGACGCCTCCGACGCCAGTGTTGTTGTTGTATCGCACACGACAAGCATCCCTCTGGATTTATTTGCGCTTTTCTTTGGGTTTTTAGTGGTTTTGCGACTACAATTTGTAACACACGATGTCTCCAAAGAAGCTGCTTGCTAAAGATAGTGTTGTCAAGAGGAAGAGAGATCCAATTACTGTGGATTTGAAGAAGAAAATTATAGCAAAGCATGAGTGTGGTGTCTGTGTGACTGATTTCACAATGGAGTATGGCAGGTCCTCATCAACAATTTACACCATTAGTAAGGGAATGAGGGAGGATGCTGCCTCTTCCACTGAGATCAGGGACGTCTTGGGAATGTTTGAAAAGGTGAACGCATTTTTGGAAAAGCTGCCCTGATAAAGCAGTGACAACCTGGTGTGTGAAAATATTTAATTAATTTATCACTTTGTGATAACACTTTGTGAAAGTGTTATCACTTTCGCAGGTATATCGCTTGAATGTGACACACTTTTTTCTCTTGAATGCACCCAAACACCGCGCTCAAGCGTCATTTGAGTAAATATTTCTATAAAATCCAATTCTTATCCGATCGACTTGGGGATTGTATACATGTTTGCCATGAAATTTCCGTTTTCTCTAATAGCCACATAGCCTATTTGTGAGAACGGCATTGTATTTTATCTTTGTGGTAAGACCGTTATATTGTTGACACGACGAGTGTAATCGACATAGTTTTTTATTTGGTGCTGGTCTAACGCATCCTTGTGTGACATTTGAAATGAGATTTGGGTGAAATTCCCAAGAAGGGAGAGTCCGCCTGACTCAGAGGTGGATTCTCCTTCCACACCATAACCCCTCTCCTCCTTTCCACCTCTCCATCGTCTCCCTCAAGCCAGCAACTACTCTTCATAAGGTAAAGTAAACATTAAAACACTACAACAAAACATTTATATTTACATGTGCAGTATTATATTTACATAAAAAAAATGTCATACAAGTATGGATGTTTTTGGGAGTGGAACAGATTAAATTTATTTCCTTTATTTTAAATGGGGAAATTTGTTTCTTAAGACGAGTTTTCCAGGTAACGAGCTCGGTGCAGGAACGGATTAAACTCGTTAATAGAGGTTCCACTGTACTGTACTGTGGCACCCAACTTACGATTGCCCCGACTTACGATTATTTCGAGTTACAATATAAATTTGATTGAAAAATGCGACCCGACTTACAATAGTGTCGTCAACTAACGATATTCGTTGATACACGTTCTGGTCGACCGAGCGCATGGTTCCCGGTCGCACGGGCCGACCTGCCTCAGTTTACCAGAGCCGCCCGCTTAGTGACGATTACGCTTAAAAGAAATTCCATTTTTGTGGTGATTTTTTTGCTTTTTGAACATAAAATTGATTATTATATATATTATTCCATGGGTCCCAAGAAAGTCAGTGGTAAGGTTCAACATATGAAAACACATGTAAGGATGACCATAGAGCAAAAACAAGAGATTGTTCGTAAATATGAAGATGGTGTGCGGGTTGCTGAACTAGTTAGGCAGTACAACAAATCTCAGTTAACAATATCCACCATACTTGCTCAGAAAAAGGACATTATGAGTGCTAAAGTGGCAAAAGGCGTATCAATAACTACAAAACATACAACACAAACACTTGAGGATGTGGAACAGTTGTTATTAATTTGGATACACAACAAGGAGTTAGTGGGTGACAGCATTTCAGAGGCCATCATATGTGAAAAGGCAAGAAAATTGCATGAAGATCTTATAAAGAAAACCCCTGGAACAAGTGATGCAGATGCGAGAGAGTTTAAGGCGAGCAGAGGATGGGTTGAGAAATTTAGAAAAAGAAGTGGCATTCATAGTGTTGTGAGGCACGGTGAGGGTGCCAGCTCAGACAAACCAGCGGCTGAAAGATTTATTGGCGAATTTAAAGATTTTGTGCAGAGTGAGGCATACCTACCACAAGTGTTTAATTGTGACGAGACAGGGCTATTTTGGAAAAGATTGCCGAAGAAGACATACATTACCAAGGAGGAGAAGTCATTGCCCGGACACAAGGCTATGAAAGATAGGTTTAAGCTTGTGCTGTGTGGTAATGCGAATGGCGATTTGAAAACTAAACCCTTGCTTTTGTATCATTCCAAAAATCCAAAGGTTTTCAAAAAATATAATGTGCAGAAAAACAAAATGTGTGTGATGTGGAGGGGCTAATGCTAAGGCATGGGTGACTAAGCAATTTTTTCTGAGTGAGTGAATGAGGTGGTGTTTCCTGCCATCAAAAAATATCTGCAGGAGAACAGTTTGCCACTCAAGGCCCTGTTTCTCCTCGACAATGCTCCTGCCCATCCTCCAGGCTTGGAGCATTCATTGATGGAGGAATTTAGTTGTTACAGTAAAGTTCTTTCCTCCCAACACCACTCCTCTACTTCAGCTTATGGACCAGAAAATCATTGCCAATTTTAAGAAACTTTATGAAAGTGCACTTTTTTGGAGATGTGTCGAAGTGACGGATGCCACAAACCTCATCCCTCAAAGAATTCTGGAAAAACATTTTAATATTTGTAGTGCTTTAAAACTCGTAGACAAAGCCTGGCAAGAAGTGACTGTAAGAACCATGATCTCTGGCTGGAAAAAATTGTGGCCTGAATGTGTTGCAGAACAAGACTTTGAGGGGTTTGAGCCTGAACCTGAAGTGCCTCTTGTTGAGGAAATTGTTTCTCTGGGCCGGCAATTGGGCTTGGAGTTGGATGGTGCTGATATTGAGGAGTTGGTGGAGGAACACAGCGAAGAACTGACCACCGAAGAACTCCAAGCCCTTCAAAAGGAGCAGCAACAAGAGGTAGCTGAGGGAATTTCTTCTTCAGAGGAGGAGGCAGTACTGAATGTCCCTTCCTCAAAAATTAAAAAAGGAGTGCAGCATGGGAAGAACTGCAAACTTTTGCAGAAACGACTCACCCAAATCAAGCTGCAGTAGGCCGTTGCCTTAACCTTTTCAATGACACTGATGCATCACTACAGACAAATGCTAAAATGAAGGGAAAAACAAGTGTCACTAGACAAATTTTTAGTGAGACAAACAAGCAGTGAACCACAACCAGGTCCTAGTGGTATGCAGGTAAAATGTAGGAGAGAGAGTGTACCCCAGAGAAATCATCACTGCCTGATGTTATAATGAAAGGGGACTCCCCTTCCAAACAGTAACACCTCTCCTCCCCCCCCCCCATCACCATCTTCCATACGCCATCAAGAGTCCTCCATAAAGGTAAGATAAACATATGTACTGTATTGTAGTTTGAGAAAAAAATTGTATTTAGTATAAAATGTATTTTTAAGTTAATATTTTTGGGGGTGTGGAACGGATTAATCCAATTTCCTTTATTTTTTATGGGAAAATCGTTTCGACTTACGATATTTCGACTTATGATACGTCTCTGAGAATGGATTACCATCGTAAATCAAGGCCCCACTGTATCTGCTAAGATTCCTGTGCACAAGGATATTTGAAATATTAAATGGAGTGAAATTCTCAGCTCAGTTGCGCATTCTCACAGCACCCAAGGTGAAACTCCGTCTGGTCCATCTGCTTTATTTCTTCCTAGCCCCTTGAGTAATTTTTCCACTTTGTTTTGAGATATCTCTATGTATTCTAAGGTGTGGTCTAGAATTGGTATTCGGTCTGGCTCTCTGAAATCCTCATTTTGTCAAACACACTTTGGAACTGTTCATTTAATGTTTTACACATTTCTTGTTCGTTCTCAGTAAACCTGTTCCCCATTCTCAATCTTTAGATTTTATCTTTTACATGCAGCTTGCTTTTAATTAATTTGTTTCTTGCTTGCTTGTAGTGCTGGTATGTTTGAGGGTTAGGCCTCTTCCTATATTGTACCCATTTTCTTGTCTTGTCTCTAGACCTCTCACAATTTCTATTGAATAATCTGTTTTCTGGTTCTGCATCTCTCTTTCGGTATGAATTTTGTGTTGTGTGCCTACATCCTATATTTCACAAAATTTGGCATACATCTCAGTTACTTCCTTACCTAGCAACAAGTCTGCCCAATTAAATTCATTAAAGAATTTGCAAAGTTGTATAGGTGGAGAGTTGCTGCCGGACACAGAACTGAGGACTCAGGTTCTTGGACAGTGTAAGCCTCTTCTCCCCCTGCCCCCTCCCCCAATGAATGGGAGGGGGTAGGGTGAATGAGCGCACACTAGTTTTGGAAACTAGTGTTTCCAAAATACTAGACTTTTGGAGACTTTTGCCACCGTGGAGAGGGGGGACCTGCTGCATGGGTGACAACTTCTCCCACCTACTCTGGCTTTGCACCCTGGAGAGGCCACTCCAGATCAACAACCAGAGTGAACCCCATAGTCTCCTGAGACTGATGGATGCCTACTAGTTTTGAGAGATTCAATCGTTTGTTTACATAGTTGGGGGGAGTTCATCTGGCAGGTTGTGAGGCCTCAGTCTCTTTTGAACCCAGCAGTGGCCTGTTGGGAGCCATCCCAAGCTGTCTAGGTGAGACAGCTTCAGGAAGCCACTGGGGCTCACCCAGAAACTGGCATTTCATTATATTCAACACTGGTTGGTAGCACTTGTAAATAATATAATGAAATACAAACATAAACATAAAAACATAGTCTTGCAAGTTAAAAAATACAAATACAATACAAATACACTACCAATTTTGCTGTACAGCATTTGCAAGACATGTACAAATAAGCTTATGTATTTGTCCATGAAACAATTATGTTACTTTCATACCAACAGAATTCCAAGCTCGGGTACCTGAATCCAACCATCCTACAGTAATGTTGAGCAAGTTAATTTTTACTTACATTTGCCTTCAATAAACTGATGAAGAAGGCAGGATTTGCCAGTGCCAGCACTCCCAATTACCAGGAACTTAAATAAGAAATCTGAAAGAAAACCACACTTAAGTATAGTGTAGCACATTTTAATATAAAGTACACCTACATTTCATTGATGCACACATACAAAGTTTAATGTGAAAAATGAGTGTCTTACAAGGGACAAATTATTGCATAATTAAGTCATAGGCCTATCCTCTTGAACAGAAAGGCCAAGAGACGTGCATTGAACTCTCAATAACATTATATATTATTTGAACATTTCTCAACATTTATCAACTCTCTAAGACCAAACTTTTAAACTCAACAAAAGTTGAGTTTAAACTTTAAACTCAGCATTGAATGGAGTGAAATGCCAGTTGTTGGGTGAGCCCTGGAGGCTCCCTTAAATTATCTTACTAATTAAGTGCCATACTACTTGAGTTTTATCAGTCACAGAGTTCTTGTATGCCTACCAGGACCACAAGCCAGAACCTGGCCCACTCAGAGAGGGGCAGAGAGCAATGGCCAATGAACACTTTACATTTAAAGTTTGTCATCTTGAGATCAACAAGATGGCACAAGACTCCCCCACAAAGAAAATAAAAACAAGCAAAGCTTTGTCCAACTAAACTCCCGCTCATTACCTATACCTTCCCCCCCCCCTCGTTGGAGGGAGGGGGAGGAGCCGGTCTGGGTGAGCTAGTTCTTGAATGAGAAAAGCCACCGACAGAAGGGAGAAAACATGAACATACCCTGGAGGCAGCAGCACCTCGAGGAACACTAGAAGAAGAGACCGTAGACTTCAACAGATGCCCCAAAGCAACACAAGGCCGCAGTGTGCCAGGGACGGGAACCAGAAACTGGCAGCTTAGACCCTGGTAGAATTCCAAAAACCCCGTGCTCGAAGATCGACCCAAGATATGTTCCAAATCACAGCTGAGAGAGCGGCATACTGATGTACATGTAAATCTGCAAATCACAAGCATGAGGGGTAGCCCTCAGGATGGTGAAACGTAAGGACACCGTGGACAACCAGAAACACACAAGCTCTGTAACATGTCACCAGGGAAACCGGAACAATCGACAAAGCATTCACTGAGACAGAATTGCGACAAGGCTGCTACTGGACACAAAACTAGAAGCACCCCCAGTCGAACCAACCAAGTAACCACAACCAAAGGACCCTTCTGGAAGCCTGCCATCTCAATCTTCGCCAGAAAAGGAGGAGCCGGCTGCAACCAAACAAAACGACCACCAAGACCAAAAGAACAAAAAATTCCTGGCACCAGAAAAGAGAATGAAGCTCCCCACCCTGACCACCAAAAGGCAAACCCAACAAAATAAGGCTTTCCAAAAGAATCCCAAATTGAAGGAGCCACCACAAACCGAGGTGAAGAAAGAAAAGAAAGAACCTGGTCCAAAGACCAAGTAGGCTCAGACAGTGCAAAAGCAGGCCAGAGGCGAAAAATGCATGAAAAAGCTTCCAGGAACAGGGCAGAAGAGACAACCACCCTGAATGCAAAGAGTGGGCTCTGCGATCATTGCTTGATAAGAAGCGACAATAGTTGGCATAAGATGCCGAACCAGAAAGAGCTAAGAAAGGAGTAAACAACCCTGTTGAACACAGAAGAAATGACGAAGAGAAAGAAAATGGCGGAAAACCTGCCAAGAAACCTCATACTGTCGCTGAGAAGAAGACTGTAAGTGGGACACCAAAGAAAACGGGCACATGGAGCCAGAGCTTCTTGACTGATATAGTGTGCCAAGAAGTCGCAGTGGACTGCGACCACTCAGCACACTACATCTGTGTGCCTTTCCTGGTCGATGGCAAGATGACAAAATTTAAATGTAAAGTGTTCATAGGCCATTGTTCCCCGTGCCTCTCTGAGGGGAGCCAGGTTCTGGCTTGTGGTCCCGGTAGGCATACAAGAACTCTGTGACTTATGAAACTCTAGTAGAATGGTACATAATCAGTAAAATAGCTTCAGGGAGCCTCTGGGGTTCCCTACAGTAATGTAAAATTTGGCAGCAAACTATTGACTTTAAGAGTATGCTCAAAGAGAGAAATCAGACCATTGTGAGTAGGCCTATAAGGATGGACTGGCATCACAGGAGTTGAACCCTTGTATGAACGGAGAAGTATGAATCTATTTTGAGTATAAGGATGGGGGTGACATCAAGTCATTGTAAATGCGAGGATGGAATGGCATCAACCATTCCAACCTCGTACAATCTGTGTACGAGGTTGGAATGACAGCAACCCACTATAAATGTGAGGATGGATTGGCATCAATTCAATGTGTACAAAGATAGAGTAACATCAACCCACTGTTTATGAGGATGGACACCCATATGAGCATCAACCCATTGTAAATGTGAGGCTGGAATGACATCAACCCACTGTAAATGTGTGGATGGAGAGACATCAAACCATTGTAAATGTGAGGATGGAATGACATCATCTCATTCTATGCAACCCATCTCCCAAAAATGACAGCACCTATAGTGATTGCGTATGGAATACACAAAATGTGGACTGCATCATAAAATAAATCAACATTTTGAACTATTATTATACAAATGGACATAAACACTAAAACAAGCTAACCAACTTCCTAATCTAACCTGTCCTAGGGCTTCGACTTCAAGGAAAAGAAGGTAGTGATTCAATTGTATAAATCATTGGTGTGCCCCCAATTTGGATTACTGTATCCAAGCATGGAGACCTCATCTTCAGAAGGACATAGCTGCTCTGGAGAAAGTGCAACACCGGGCAACAAAAATCATTCCAGAGCTAAGTCAACTCACGTACCAGGAATGGTTGAGGCCCACAGGGCTACCAACACTGCAAACCAGATATGACAGGGCACATCTTATTGAAACTTTTAAAATAATGAAAAATTTGGAGGATGTTGATCTGGAAAATTTCTTCAAAAGGTCAGATATAACATGAATGAGGAATAACAATTTCAAGCTCAACAAGCCACAATGTAGGACTGAGAACAGAAGATGCTGTTTCACCCACAGGATTTTCACCCATGGAACTACCTACCTGCCAAAGCCATAAATTCTAAAACTATCTTAACTTTTAAGGTACACCTGGAAAAGATCATCAAGGCAAATGGGGGGACCCTCAACAAGTCGAGGCCACTAGTGTTAGTAGCTCTCAGGTAAACTCAGGTAAATGTAATTAATCTTAGGCCTACCTACATGTTGAGGGTAGTCAACAGGTAGGTAGAGAGGCAGGTAGACTTAGTACAGTACATATATGAGCTATATTTGCCATACACTATAAATTTTGTTGTTAAAATTCCTCACCTAATTATATCAATTAAAACACCAAATGTTTAAAGCCTTTAATAATATAGATTTTTTGAGGTGAACCATCAAATAAAATTGTGTTAAATCCAATGAAGTAGTCTGATGCTACACTCATAACTGTCCAAGAATTGTGAGACACACCAGACCACTAAAGCTAAACAAGGCTACCACAAGCCAAGACCAGGATCTGGCTCCCCAAAGAGACGTGGGGAAGTCTGGTGATAACAAATCTCAACAAAACCAAGGGAAACAAACAGTAACAATGCTTCAAAACAACAACCGCCTGTAAACACTTGCAAAATCACCACCTAACAACACTCACTTGCCACTAGACACAGACCTGGTGACCCAGAGCACTGGAAAGTCAGCCAGCTCATTCACGAGCCACCCAAAAATATAAACACTCTAATTATACAAAAAGCAGAGCAATGGACAGGGTCAGGAAGCTGCCAAGGGCCCAAGGGCTACCAAAAGCCCACCAGAAAAGTGTTTCATTACATTCAGAATTTCTGGGGAAAAAATCATTTCAGTATAGCTTGCCAATGCCATATCACCATAGAGCCCCTGAACCCAAAAAAGAACACAAAGGATAGCCAGAGATTATCGAGGACAGAGGAGGATGATGATGCAACAGAGGTACGTAGTGTCAGGCTTGACGACCCATTGCCACACAAGTGTGATACAGCTGAGGAATAATCAGCCAATTACAAAAGGCCAGCACCAGGGTGAATTTCCAAAACTCCCTTGCATGGATATTAGTTAGGAGTATAAAGGAGAAAAATATTGACAATGTCCATGTATATGGAGATCATGTAGACATGGAGGAACCCCAGGTTGACTAAGCCGGATCACTTCTCAATGAATTGGGACAGAAGGGCATTAGAACAAGGGGACAACAAAACTGGGTTAAAAACAAAAATAATTACCCATGGCCCTCAGTAGCATGCAAATAATGCCACACTATGGTGACAGGACAAAGGGCATGATGCACCCCACAGCCAGGCAAACGATGCATCAAATACCAAGATAAATTTCCAAAAACAAAAGCTAATTTGATGTGAGAAAAGAAAACAAAAACCAGAACCAAATGATAACAAATTAAAACATTCCAAAGGAGAGCACAAAGCTCCCTGACCCACAACCAGAAGTGAGGTCCAAGGAAAGGCTGTGTGAAAGAAACAATCTTCCACGGAAGAACAGAACCAAAAATGCAGAGAGGCCAAAAAGACCAACCTACAATCAAATGACCAAGAAGATTTTGAAGTAATATAAGCCAGCGGGTGGAGAAAAACCAGTGTTGAATATAATGAAATGCCTCTTTCTGATACAACCCGAATTGGAAAGGGCAGCCCCCGAAACCACCCGAGCCTTCTCCCGAGCTAAGCCCCTCCCAGACTCCGAAACCCTCAGATATATGGGAGCCAGAAATAGGGGGAAAGAAAGGAGCAGGTTGAACCACGCCCACCTGGGAAGAAGGCAGGAGTGCGGAGGAAGGAACCAAGGTCGAAGCGGCCAACGCCCCCAAATCCTGGTCCTTAAAACCCAAGAGGGGCAGCTCTGGGGCCTCCAACCGGGCAACCAACCTGGCCCGTTGTAGTAAGGAGAATCGAGCATGCAACGCAGCTGTTGCCTGATCCTTGACATCAACAGACAAGGAATCAGTAAAGTGAAGTACAAGCGGGAAATAAGGTCCGCAAGACTCCAGGTCGGTGGTGTCCCCGAACCAACAGGCAGCGTGACAGGCA